TCTCTCTCTCTCCCTTCACCCCCAAACTTATTCTCTCCGTATCTTTCTCTCGATGTGAAGCCATGAAGCCTAATTCCTATGAGGTTTTGTTAGAGCACTGTGAAGCACAATCTTTGTATTCAAGAAATTCCATATAGTTTATCAAACAAGTACTCTAGAACTTCCAGATATCAACAATTCCAACTTCTTGGAAACTAGAAGTTCCAAGTTTCAGAGAATCCTTTGCTTCAAGTTACCAAACGTGTCCTATGGTGATCTTTTTTACGCTTCTGATTAAAGAAGCTCCCAAATGGGGCCATGGCATCTAGAATTTCACCAAGGATTCTATCAATCAAATAAATACTTGTACATTGTTTCAAACAATGGTTCTCTCAGCACCTAGGTGCTGGGTGGACCCTAGGGCACACGCCTAGGCCTGGGCGCCCACCTAGGCAGCCGAGGTGGGTGGCCAGCCCAGGGCCTGTGCCCTTTTTCTGAAGAAACTGTCATTTTTCAATGGTTGTTATTTTGAAAAAACTGACATTTTTCAATAAAGCAAAAAAAATATCCTCTGAGAATATTTTGATTGTCGCGTATTTTTCTTCTTTTGTTTTCAGATATTTTCTCAAACGTCGCCTTTTTCTTTTATGTTTCTTATGTTCTTATTTTTTTGGCTAATGCCAATTCATACCATGTGAAATAGAAACAATCACTTCTAGTTGTTCCCCTATTTCCAATTTTTGAACCTGGCTAAAGAGATGCAATAAGATGTTTGATTGATTCCGATAACTTAGAAAATTGGCTGATGTTTCATAATCATAGGAATCTCATTTTATGTCGATGCAACAGCCCCATAGTAAAATGAGAATGGAGAATACATGTCAACAAGTGGCGCCCAGGGTGCATTTCTCACTGTAAAAGTAAAACAGGGTGCCTGCCTAGGCACTGGGTGCTGGCCGCCAGGCTGGCTGCCTAGTGTTTTTGAAACCTTGTACTTGTATGACATTCTTGAGCCTAATATACCTTAAAAACCCGAGAGTGATGCATTAGTACTCTACGAGTCTCCATGATGTGACCATTCTCTTCTGTTGTATGAGGGCACGACCACAGATGGATGATTCCATGATCCAATGAGAACTCTTGAAACTATTCTGCCCTTGAATTTTATTTTGGTATGATGTGCTTATGTTGTGTTTTTTAGTTGTTGCATGAAATTGTTTAAACATAGAGAACACTTTGGACTTCAATATTAAGAAATAGCCCATGTATATACTGTCCAATCATCCATAAATAAAACAAAATACTTTTGTCCTGTCTTAAATGGAACCAAACTCGGTCCCCACTCCCCACACATCACTATAGATATCAAAAGTTGTAATAGTATATGGAATTACTAGAAACAAAAGGAAACTTATGAGATTTTGCAGTACAACAATCAGGAAAAATAAAATTCAAATAATAGTTTTTCCCATCAAATTTATTCATGAGTGGTAGAATAAAACAAAGTAGCTAATCTATGATTTTTTGGATGACCTAACGACAATGCCCTAGGTCCCCAAATTTATGTGCACTCTTAATATCACTATTTGGTGGGGGAATTAAACTAGTGGCAGTAGATTTGGTAGATGTCCATCCGACGATCTTCCAAGTTCGGAGATCCTGTACTAAACCACCAGAAGAGTGAAATAAGATGAAAGCAATGATTGTGAACAAGCTGTGACACAGATCAAATCCTCAGAGAGTTTAGGTAAGCTTTGTGGAGGGAGAGGCTTGACGAGTCAGAAGGGAAAATGGATACAGATCCAACACCAGAGAGTGGATGAAATTTTCCCTTGAGCACCGTCGTCATTATGATGAGTGATGTGCTGAATTTTCTCCACGTCATTTGTCTCAATGGGTTTTTACTCCCAGAATCAATTCCCCAAGAGTTAGACTGAAACATAACAGAGGAGGCTCCTATTCCATCATCTCCGGAGAAAGCAGCTGAGTAGTACTTGATGTGGGAGGTGGTGTGGACATAGGAAATTGTACTATAGTGGTACCATCTTCAATTTGAGTAGAGCTGATACTAGCAACCAAGGCATGAGTCTTTGGATTCTTAGGAGGCTCCTCTTCTTACATATGGATCTAACATGGCCAACTTCCTTACAGTTACAACAGATGGCTTTTGGATTCTTGGGACATTTAGATGATATATGGCCATACCATTTGCAGGTTTTTGCACTAGAACGAACTGAAGAACTGCATCATGGAGCGGATTGTTACTATTCCCTTCAACCATGTGTCTTTGGCTAACAATTATGATTGTGGTTCCATCTAGGATTGGAGATCTGGCGAACCGGAACTCATCTCAAAGTTTCTTTAGGAACCGGTGTGGACAGGATCTAGCTTTGGTATAGTCCATAGTTTCTCGAGCTGCTTCAAGAACCGATGGTTCTTTCAATTCCGCCATTAATACTCCTGTATTATCCTATTCTCCTGCATGAAGTTCATCGACTCCTGCGTGATTACTTTGCTGGTAAATCTTGCTCAAATAATCTCACATCTCCTTGCATGTGGAAAAAGAGGCCAAGTCCAGGGCAATGTTATCCTCAACTGAGTGGAGCATCCAGGTTTTAATTTAGGTGTGATGGATGACTAGAGGAAATAGTTTTTCCCATTGAGTTTGGAAGGCACAAGGTGAGCAAAATAATCAAAGTAAGAATAACCAAAGTAAAAACAGCACTAAAAGAAATAGAGAACTAGAAAACAAGCATTGGTCTGCCTTTAAAATACTAAAAGAAACAGAAAATTAGGAAATAAGTGTTGGACTGCTCACAAAAAACTAATAGAGGCCAAATATAGGAACCAATTTCCCCCCTAGGAATTGAATCTAAGTTTAGATCTTGATCAAAGACCCAAAAACATCCATGAGAAAAACCCTCAATTTTGAAGGAAAATGATGGAGGGTTCTTGCAAAAAACGAGTAGAGAGAGAGAGAGAGAGATCCACCGACTTATTTTTTATCAAATCTGAAAGAAAATCCCTTGGATCAAACAACCAGACTGATAAGCTTATGCGAGAAAGCAAAGGACCTTTAGAGGAGAGAGGTAGGGCATAAAAACCCTAATTCCATCGCCAACAGACACGATCTAAACTCTGTTGATAGAGAGGGTACGGGAACCCTAATTTGAGTGCCAAGAGACATGATCTAAACTCTGTAGATAGAGAGGGTACGGGAACCCTAATTTGAGTTCCAAGATTCACATTCAAAACTCAATAAACTCGCTTTGGAACTATGTTAGATCATTAAAGGACAGTTTTGATATCTCAAGTCTGCCCTAGAATCCATCAAATAGGTGAAGAATGAAGATTCCAAGTTGTTTTCAAGAAATGGTACCATAAAGCCAAACAAGGACTTGGAAAAGTCATGTTTCACACTTGTTCATACGATTTCTCGTATTAAAATATAAAAGGTCATAGGAGTACAACATTAGCCCCAATGAACTACAATATTGTGGAAATGTCATTTGGCCATATTTGCATTTGCTAAATGATCATAAGATTAAGTAAATGATTACTATGGAGTTACAATAATGAGTTATTCCTTTTCTCTTCCCAAAACTGCCTTTACAAGGTGGATGCTAAGTTGCTGGGAAAATGATGTAGGGAAATTGATAGAACATATAATGAGCAAAACTTTTAGGCCAAACACGAACAATAACTTGGAGAAACCTAGGGTTTCTTCCTTATCCCAAGCTAGAGTTCCAAAAACCTAAGCTTTTCTTTGTCTTTCAATTCTGAAAATCTCATGGGATGACCCCCTCAAGGCCCCACACATTTGTTATATATTATAATTTAATGCTTGAAGACATTAAGTGTCCCTACAAAAAATAACATGATCCAAGAAGTCCAAAATTACATCTAAATTCCTAATAGCAATTTCACCCTTGATAAAACAAAATATTCTATAAACACTATAAGCACTTATCTAAACAACTCCTAAAAATAGAAAAAAACCCTAGAGTCCCCAAAAAACTTAAAAGCCCCAGTAAATGCTAAACAATATTAAAAAGGGAAAATGATCTCTACCCCCCTCCCTGTAATTTCCATCCCTATTAGATCCTTAGCTTTGCCAAAATCCCTTGTACCCCTTTAAATTTAGGGAGCCCCCCAATTATGTTTTTCTTTGTTCTTTTTACAAATTTGATATTTTTGTTTTGCAAAATACGAAATCCATTCTTTAGTCACCTCACCTCTCTTCCCTTTCTCTTCCTTTGCCCAATACCATTCTTACCTCTGTAGATCCCACTCTACAAATTTAGACTTGAAAAGAAAATGAATTTTTCTTTAATATTATGACCTATTTTACAATTGCATCAATATCTTTTGAACTTGCAAAATGTTTAATCAAGATCTTTATTACTATTATTAATGGATTATTATTATTATTATTTATTCATTTATTAAAAAAATTTATCAAAATACCTATAGGAGATGAACTATTTAAAAATTAATTAATTGTTGTTGTTATTATTATTATTATTATATTGTTATTATTATTATTATTATTATTATTATTATTATTATTATTATTATTATTATTGTTATTATTATTATCAATAAATTTTGTATATAAAGTGACAAAAAATATAGATGACTAATGGATGGGTTTGGCATTAGTAATACAAAATAATGAAATTTTTGAAAAAAACAAAAGAAAACATAATTGGGGGCCAATGGTCCCAAAGTTTTGAACTTGAGGGGGCACATGGGATTTTGGTGAAGCCAAGGGTCTAATAGGGATGGAAATTATAGGGTGGGGGTGTAGGTCATTTTCCCTATTAAAGTTTTTCAGAAATACCGCTATGAACAGTAATATGTGAGCATTACCCATGAAGATTACTCATGAATAATAGTAATTCATGAATAGTGTAAAAAATAAAAATAAAAAATAAAAATAGGAATAATTTGTTCCTGCATCAGAAAAGCATGTTGTTATGGGATTTTTCTCAGTTTAATGTGCTTAGTTGTTGGTGCAGGAAGTGGCATCAGCCCAAGGGAAGTTGTTTTTGTGGAGAGTGAACAGAAGTTCTCTTCAGGAAAAAATTTTGAATGACATGTACCATGCAGCTTCAAACTTGTGTCAGCGGCTTGCACATGAGACAACAGAAGAGCATGAGGTATGATAAAACTCTAAGGCACTTTCAATACCATGCTAGGGAAAAATTGCCTTTTGCTACATAATGGTATTTTCCTGAAGTTTTTCTAATTTTAATTAAGAAGAGAGAGAGAGAGAGAGAGATTATTGGGATTTTAGGGTATCTTGAGGAGACTCTAAAGAGCGATACAGAGTTTATTAGGGCTTTTCCACCCATGGAATTAGGGTATCTCGAGGGCACTATACAGAGTCATAATGGGGGCTCTCCATGCCCCTATTTCCCCCATATTTGTTGTGCAAAACCTGCACCATCCAAATAAATGGATGTTACAAAAAACGTTGCAGCCTACCTTATTGTGGCAATGCTACGGCTGTATCAAAACGGGACTCTTTAGTTCTTAAATGTGCCCATGAATTTTTAGCAGGGATAGAAACCAAACTCCCAGTCCAAGTCTGTAGCTCTTCTGGCACGTTTGGCGTCTGCCCACGTCAATGGGGTTGCTCTAGAAGCCCAAGGGACCTCTAAGGATCCATGGTCCTTCGAGACCCAATGCTTGCGATCTTGTCTCCTCTCTCATAGGTGTCTATTTATACTCAACTTGCCTCTCTAAAACCCAAAAAAACTACTTTCAGTACAAGTTCAAAGCAGTCTATGGACCAAATATCCCACAACTCAGGGGTGCTCCTTGAGAAGAACTAAACAACATAGCAGCCTGGATGCCAATCTATTGGGACTGCACAGGGACTTCAAAGTCACCTAGCGGACCCATAAGAAAAACCACAATGGGAGAATCCCGGTGAGTATGGACTCTTTTATCATCCGAAACCACCTCAACAACGATCCCTTCCACGGCTTAACTTTTGCCTAGACAAAATAGCAATGAGAAATATAGGTGCTTCGTCGGGTAGGTGAGCTACACACGCAGTTGAGGCACCCTCCTAAACTGAATAGACTTAGATCAGAGCCCAATTTGGACTTGTCACAGGGAGCCCGCCTAGGTGGCCTACACCCTCCTAGGTGCAAGGGTGGCACCTAGCCATCCAAGCAGGTGCCTCAATGCCCACTGCTAGCCCCTCCAAATCCCATACACCCCCCTGTCCCTTCCCCCCGCCTTCCCCCCCCCCCCACACCCAAAAAAAGAACATTAATTCTATAGTAGGTTATTTTTGTCCCCTTTAAATTCATAGAGGAACTTCGGTGCTAAGTGAAATTTCAGCCTTTTATCCATTTTCAATTAAAATTTTCCTTCAGTTTCGGACCTAATTTCTCTTGAAAGAGATGAATATTTTATAGGAAGAACCAGATTTTGTGCCACAATCTTCAAGAATTATTTTTATGAATTACAATTTTCAATAAATTTTGAGCAACATTATGTCAATCTTGATCCCTAGGCTTGTGAATACCATTAACTCCAGCTCAGCGACCACAATTTCACAAAATTTTAGTGCAATTTCGGACATAGGCATGGGGAACTAAATCATGAATGGTTCTGGGATCGAGGGTACAATCAATCGATCAAGGGAACGCAAAACCCCTTATGATAGCGATTGATGTCCTTACAAATTAAATCTAAGGAACTTGATCTTGTGTTGAAGGAACAGAGATCCCATATTAGATAGGCTCGAGTTCCCCAATTAGACAGGACTAGATACATAGCCTAATAACTATAGGCTCCTTATATCAGTTCTTAATGTATTTTCCACTTTGTATAGTTCTCAAAGCATGTATGCTCATGGCGTTGCATACTAATACAACTGGCTATCTGCACATGATTCATCAGCTAGAAATACTAATTGAGAGGCTGGAATTCCACTTCCTTATAATATTAAATCTAAGGAACTCGAGCCCCGTGTTCTAGGGAATGAGATTCAAAATTCTAATAAACGAGATCCATAGATAAAAAAAAAAACTAACTATGTTTTGGAGCCTCTCCACACGACTCAGAGAATAATCCTGTTGTCAAGCAGGCCTTTTCGGGAGAGAGAGTGGCCCAAGTTAAGCTTTTCCTATTAGGACCACATGACACGAGGAAGATATTTCTGGATCTCATTGGACTATTTCTGTCTATACATTTTTGCATTGGGATGGTGCCATTGGTCTCAAGATTTTAGTACATTTTTCTTGGGGTAAAGAATATTTTGCCTTACCTAAATGATTCTCTCTCAAAAAACTAATAGTCTTAGGATCACTTCCCTTTCATTATTTTCCCAACTTGGACATATGCAGATAATTAGGAAGAAAGGAAGAGAGAAAAGTATGTGATGTGATTTGTGGGACCTTGTTTTATCACAAACAATGAATGTAAGTGAAGTTCATGCTCTTATTTGTTGCTATATTTTTGTTTCTCGATTGCATAAATATCACCTCTTTTTTGGAGATCAAGTTCGAATGCCTCAAAATACAAATGTCTGGACTACTATAAAAGCCCTTCAATTTTGCTAAAATTATGGATATATGCTCTATTTCATACTTTTGGACTGCCTGATTGCATAGGCTGCCAAGACCCTGTTTGGACGTATTTTGTAACACTCGAAAAGTTTACACCACAGTTATGGGAAGGCAGGAAAATAATTAACGTCTCTAAAGTTATATCCCATGTAGGGAACAGTTTTCCCCGTGGTAGATCAAAGCCTATCCTCATCATCATCCTAGGCTATGTTGTGGGGATAAATGATCAAAGGATCAAGATAAGCGGTCAAATCCGAAGGAAATTCATATTTGAACTTCAAATGATACAAATTCAAATGGGAAGGATCTCAACAACGAAAACAATTTCATTTCATTATCATCAAAATGGAAGATGAATGGCCCAAGACCACAACAACATCAACAATCTCCACAAATTCCCTCTCTAGAGTAGTTTATAAAAGCACTCTTACCAGTGAGAGAGGGATCTTTTCAATCAATTTTTATATTTTCACACGTGCTGAAGTACAAAGCAAACCCAGGGCAGCAGGAAGTAGCATAAAGCGTTGTTCTTGTAGTAACCGCAGTGACCACTCATCCATCATATAGCTCAAAGGTGAGTCCACAAAGTTTGAGTTGCATTATTCTATATAATCTTGGACTGACTGATCAAGGGTATTCCTTGTTTGCTTAACCGAGCTTGGATGTAAATGAAACAAATGACTTTGTGAGCATTTGGAACTCTTTTCAAACCCATATTCATATCTAATAAAGAAATTTGAATCTATTTTCTCCATTATGTTATCTTCCCTGATTCTTATTGGAGTACATTTTCTTTCATATTTTGCAAAGACACATTTTGGATGGATTAGATGTTTGATAACTCCACTAGGGAAGATTTCACCCTTTGTCCTATCAATCGAAGTTTTTGAAGTCCAAAAGATCAGATCCTGCTAAAGGACGCATGACGATAACTAGAGGCTTCATCATGGTCGGAACCATAGTGGTGTCATATACCTTACCACCATCGAGAGAGAGCAAGCCATGTGAGAGCATGCAGGCACAAAGCAAAAAACACGAGTTTCTCCAAAACTAAAATCAGGGCCCAAAGCCCTGCAAATCATTGCTCTCAACATAGCAAAGGGTGTTAGGCACGTCACAGGTGGGGGGCGATAAGCACGAAGCCATAAAACTGGGCCTCTATAAAGCCTTATAATCAGGACACAAAGCCTACAAAACGACTCCTTTGTTGGTCTGATGAGTCGTAAGGCAATTCGATTTAAATCACCTTGGGATCATCTGACTCAATCTCTTCCCATTGGTAGAGCGGGATTCAACTGACAACTGTGGTCTCAATCTCCGAGAGACTTCCTTGCACAGGAAGGTCTGGCCAAAGGGTTGGTCGCCCGAGAGTGAGGGTCAGCCCTGAGGTCCTCATAAGCCTGAACTGTCGAAAGGCCTATAACAGTGGCCTAAAAGTCACGAAGCCATCAGACACAAAGGCAGCTACCGGGAACAAATTCTGCTATAAGTATGAAAGGCGGTCATCCCCAAACATATGGTCGTCTTCAAGGTTGCATTTCTCGGCTATACTCTCAGATTCAAGCCCTGGGTATCAACAGCACAACGCGACCATTGGGTAGAAAACCGGCCCCATCATCAGTGGGCATAAAGCACGCTCAAGCATCTTCCCTGAACTTGAAACTAGAATCTCTTGCTACAGAGTTCATTATCCTCAGAAGAGGGTCGACCCAGTAGTCCATGGTGCCTTGAACGTTCTATTGAATGCAATGGACCAAAAACAAAAACATCCAAGACGAATGATCCTCACGGCCATACTGAGCAAAAATACTTAAATAGATCGGCTGAAATTGAGCAGTCCTTGCCTGCCTTTGACCACTGAGGTAAGCCATTTGTGGTAATAATTACTCACCATGCGGTACACCTCAAGCGTGTCCTTTTGAGAGGACCCCCTGGTCTGGCTATTGCTTCACCACTGGGGTAGGTTGCAAAGCGGCTCTATCACCAACAAGAGTCTAGCAACCGGCCAAGAGGGTCAATAGACTCGCACTTGCCCATACTAAGGCCATTATGCGGCTGAAAATGACAAGCCTCACACAAGAAGTGCATGAGGCATTTATATCTTGTTCTACTGTAGTTCCTTGGACAAGGCTGAAACCCAGAAGCAACCCCATCCAGCTTTAACATTGAGGGACCCCATAGAGTTTCCACCCCTGGAGTGGTTTAAGAGACCCTCACATCAGGGTCAGTACACCTATAGTTGGGAAAGGACTTATACGCAATCAGACCCCAGTTTTGGGTCAGTACACCTATAGTTGGAAAAGGACTTACACGCAATGACTCCATATACCAGAATCAAAACTCAGTCGTTACCTATAATTAAAGATGAAAGATGATCAAAACTCAGTCGACACCCATAATTAAAGATGAACCGACTCGTTCGAGTCAAAAGGCTATGGCTTAGATCAGGAACATGGGAATTGCAGTCAGAACCTCAAGTTGCCCTCAAAAGGCTGGTCACAAAGTATTGCGGGTAGAGCGCAAAACCCTGCAATTGAGGTGAAAACTATAGCAGCCAAAACGACCTGCAAGGC